AAATTAAGTAGCTTGTTATCAAGATTGATGAATTATATACGTGAAATAATTATAGAAAATTCTTACACTATATTATAAGATAAGCGGTATCAATTTTGAATGAGTGTGATGCATTCTGGGAAATCCATGAATGCTAGCTGTTTATCATTTTGTCTCCCATTTACTTACCAAGACATAAAGAACTGCTTCCGACTTGATTGTATAAGCTTCTGCATTCTTTTAGGGTGTGGACCGTTCATGATAATCAGTTTATCGACCAGAACAGGATACTCCATAGCAAACTGCCAGGCGACTGCCGCCCCCCAATCGTGAGCTACCAGTACGCAGGAACTGTAGCCCAAAGCTGGGATGGCATCCCTCAGATCACCTAAGTTGTGGAACATTTAAAATAACTTTGAAATCTGCAGACCTGGAGTAATTTTTATTTTTGGAAATATTTTATTCACTTATTAGATATTCATATGTTTTTAATTCTTTTATGCTATCTTCATGGACTTTCGTATTTTCTGTTCTTTTTAGCCACTACAATTTTTTGTTTTCCAAAATTCAACAGCCCACCCCCAGTTTACAAATAGAAAACTCCTTATTATTAATTTAATATTTTCTTTGGACTTGACATTTCCATATACTCCATTCCACTAATGCCTAGATATGATGCTAGTAATATCACTTATTCTTCACTTATTTCTCCATCATTGTCTAGATAAATTGTAGTACCGTATATACTAATTGCAGTCAGCAATTGAATCCCCCCAAATGTAACTTTATAAAAATGCCTAATGAATACAGAGTATTGTTTCACCATGATTGCCCCCCCCCCCAAAAGAATGTCAGTTTGACTGTGATTACCTTTGTCCTATAATTACTAGACTATGTTGCTAAATGACAATGAGACCGGCTTAAATAAGTGGAATACTGCATAAATTTGAGGTTACATAATGAGATATTACAAGCATCATATCTAGGTATTGATGGAGTGAGGTACGGTATCATATGTGGAATACTGCATAAATTTGAGGCTATATAATGAGATATTACTAGCATCATATCTAGGTATTGATGGAGTGAGGTATCATATGTGGAATACTGCATAAATTTGAGGCTACATAATGAGATATTACTAGCATCATATCTAGGTATTGATGGAGTGAGGTATCATAAGTGGAATACTGCATAAATTTGAGGCTACATAATGAGATATTACTAGCATCATATCTAGGTATTGATGGAGTGAGGTATCATAAGTGGAATACTGCATAAATTTGAGGCTACATAATGAGATATTACAAGCATCATATCTAGGAATTGATGGAGTGAGGTGTTGTGAGTGGACTAGTGTATGGTCTTCTATGGCCAGAATTCAGGGGCATAATAAATGAGAAAAAATGACAATCAATGTATTTATCAAAACAAGTCAACTGTACTTGTTTTCAGTGCTGAAACCTAACTTGTAAAATCTATGAACAGTGATACAAGTTTTAGAAAACTTGAAGCCCTCAGAAAACAGGTGAAAAACAACTGGTCTCCAGGGATGCTAAGCATAGAAATACTAGCCTATGGAAATTAAACAAATTCAGCGTGCCAACAAAATTATACACAATTACTAACTAAGGAATGTTAATGAAAATTTCTCCAATAAATTATGATTTTGTTCCTTATCATCCACCCTTGAGTTATTTGTCAGCTTTGATTTGAATTTGTATGCGGATGAGCATTAATTAGATTAATAAACACAAAATATGCAAATAAGCTACTTAATAAATGCCAAATATGCAAAGTAGGTACTTAATAAACACAAAATATGCAAATAGGCTACTTTATAAACGCTAAATATGCAAAGTAGCTAATTATTAAACACCAACCTGTAAGATAATCTATGGTGTATGGTGCTATACCCGAAGGTTTGTCAGAATCTCCATATCCTCTCATATCTATGGCAACGACTCTGCAAAAAATTAAAAAAAAACGCATATTTTGTAACATATATTGTACTGTGGCACATAAATTGGTCATGGTTTTAAAATCCTGCTTGATGTTGATTCTCAGCATTGAACTTGTGATTAACATGAAGATGAAAACCCCCTAGGGCTAGCAGTATTTCAAAATACATTGTTGGAAAGTGTATAATGATAGCATAGCAGTTGTTGCACCATGACCAGTAGATTCCAAATTCAATTCTACCTGGGCTGGGATACCAAAAAAAGGGGTTAGACCTGTGTTCATTATGGAGGAGACTTTGGGGGAATCTTTGATAAGGTCTGCACATGTTTTCGTGCAGACCTTGTTAAAGCCAGAATAGCGCATAAAATGGCCATTTGATAGATAGATGGTGAAATGTAGCCCTAAACATGCATATAATTTCTG